TTTGCTGGTTAAACATGTTCTGGATGGCGTTTCGTTGGGATACTATGCTTGTAAACGTGTCCCAGTTGGAGATGATCATGAGTGGCTGAAGAAGGTTCTGGTTGAGGTGCAATTACTTCAACATCTTTCACACCAGAACTTGGTCTCGTACCGACATGTATGGTTAGAGGACGTAAAGCTCAGCAATTTTGGGCCGAGCATTCCTTGTGCCTTTATTCTGCAGCAATACTGCAATGCCGGAGATCTCCATCAGTACATATGCGGCCCGAAACAGCCTACCACCACAGCCCAGCAATTGAAGGAGCGGCTAAGGCGAAGATCAAAGGGCCAGCCGGAGCCTCCTTCTGGCGCAGCAGGCTTCCGAAAACTCCAGTTTGATGAAATATACTCACTCTTCAAAGATATAACTTCCGGCCTACTCTTTCTTCACAACAATGGCTTTATTCACCGCGATCTTAAACCTAACAACTGCCTGCTACATGACACAGGACAGGAACTAAGAGCCCTTGTGAGTGACTTTGGTGAGGTACAATATGAGCACGCTGTTCGCAGTTCTACTGGAAATACAGGGACGATTTCATACTGTGCGCCTGAGGTTCTACGACGTCTGGATCCCGAAGGACCATTTGGAAATTTCACGTTCAAGTCTGATATCTTTTCGCTCGGCATGATCCTCTACTTCCTCTGCTTTGCTCAACTCCCGTACCGCAACGCCGATATCATCGACGAAGATAAGGAGGATCTCGACAAACTGCGCGCCGAGATTAGCCAGTGGTCAGGTTTCGATGACGCCCGACGGATGAGACTAGACCTACCCGAGAAACTCTATTCATTTCTAAAAAGGCTCTTGTCCGTTGACCCGGACAAGCGACCTACCGCGGAAGAAGTCCTCAAGGGGATCCAGGCGGGTGTTGCAGGTGCTAATACCGAAGGTCGTCGCTTCCACAGTCTCAGAAACAATGGAACATCGGCTGCTGACATTCGTTCAGGCCCTCGCGTTTTGGCGGAGACCTCTCCCAACCCATCCGCAACCTCCCATAGCCCAAGGAGCCCAGGTAGGAACTTGTCTTCCAATGCAACGGGATTTCCTGGTGGGGTTCCTGTCCTCCAATCCCCCGCCTTTCGGTCGGATGGTACAGAACATGCAACCAGCTTGCCAAGGGAGCGGCATCGATCTCAGAGCGCGGATCATGGTCTAGTCCTTCGGGCGGCAACTGTATCCCCCTCCCACCGTGCCAGCCAGACACAACAGCAGCAGCGTAATAATGGCGATAATACTAGCCACACACGTGTCTCCTCGCGGCACCTCCTCCTTCCGCCTCCCAACGAACCAAACCGGGCTTCAATTTTCACCTCCGCTACTCTCTACCACACCATAGAGAAGATCATCAGCTTCTCCCTACTTATCGCTAAACTCCTATCCATCACACAACCATGTTCGCCGCTGGCGGTTAATCCATGGATCTTATACCCCCTTGTTTCCCTGGCTGCGTTGGATTTAGCTGTGAAGAATCCGTTGGTGCATGCCGCTGCGTTTGTTTTCCATGTTGCTGTTGTGGTGTGGGCTGTAAGGTCAGACGTGCTATGTCTGTGGGTGCCGGAAACGTCTGGGACTATTCATGGGATATAAACCCAGCTGTTATAATATATATTATATGATGAAACCAGATAAATCTGGATTGTTTTTCCAAGGCAGAGAGATGATTATGATTACGAATGAAGATTTTTTCTGTTGATGGTTATTTACTGTGGAATCTACTGACGAGAAGAGACTAAAGTTATAACTAGCCTTTTTATTTGAGAAATGATTCCCATTTTATTTTATTTTATTTTATTTTATTTTATTGGGAATTAGAAATTACACGGCTGCTGCACGCATTCTACATTTACATGTGCCCAGACCCTAGCCTTGAACACGAGAGGATCCCCATGATGAACATTGAAAGAATCCTAGCTCCCGTAACCATACCCCTACACCCGCATCCTATGTATGAATCATAGCACATCTACAGAAAAATTCAAAAGCAGAATCAACGAAAGAAAAAATGTAGTGGGTGAAACGAAACCGCAATATAGATCCCACTGAGCCCCTTACCCGGCCTACTTTCCATTTATCCTTCACCCCCTCCTCCCCTTGCCGGAAGACATGAAGAGAAAGGGGTAAAGAATGAGTAGAAAGCCTGGCGGACTGCAAAAGGAGGGACGCAGTCAGAGAGCCCACTTTTTCTTGTGTTTCATTTAATCTTGGAACCACAATAGCGTCTTTTATTAGGTCTAACATTGTAGGGTGTTGTATTCTCAAAATGATTGGAATACAGCAAAGTCAGACCAGGTTAGGGAAAAAGAATACTCGTTCGGTTTAGGAACGATTCACTTCCTCCCCATGACGGTTCCGTGTTGACGGGAAATGTCTCGTGTTGTTCATTTTGCAAAGGGCTGATGCGAGAGGAGGGCGAAGGACACAAAACAAATGGAAACTGTACAGTTATACGTATTTATTTATTTCTTCCTTCATTGTCGTCGTCACACGCGCTCATCAGTCGTAAATATACAGAGCTACTTACTTCACCCGTGCCGCCATAAACCGACTAAGCCTTTTGGGCGGCTGGCCGTCCTCATCTAGTGGAATGATTCCATCGTTCTCCTCACCATCGCGCAAGAACCCGCCTTCTTGATGAACCTTGCGGTTCCGAAATTTGTAAAATTCGGTGGCTATTTCTTGCTTATGGAGACTCTCGTCTAATTCATCTGGATCGGGCGGTGTTGCGTTCTCATGGGATACAGTCCGCTCCACTAGCTTATCCGCCAAAGCTTTGGGTGGCTGGTCTGGGTCAACGATCGGCTGAGAAAATGGCTTGGGTTGTGAAGGCTTTGCGGGAAATAGTGGTAGTGGTGGAGCATTGGTAGAGGGAGCTGATGGGCGAGTTGCGGATCCTGGCATGGCGGAAGTAGATGCTATGCTAGTTGGTTCAGAGGCATTTCTTGCACTCCTGAACCGGGACGCTTTCTTCGGCGCCGTAGTCCCCTTCGTGTCATCTACCTTTTCTGCTTGCGCTCGTTCTACAATAGCGTCTTGAACGACTGGAACGGAGGGTGACTCAACACGGTGCTCCTTAATAGGTGCTGGAGGTGTGAGCGCAGCTGGATCCGGTGCAAGGTCTAGCGCATCCGCAAATGCAACTTTCTTCTTTTTCTTTGGGACTTTTCCGCTCCCTGTATTAGGAACAACCTTCGTAGAGGTAGGCGCATCCATCTCTTCTCGGATTTCTGGTGGAAGGGAGCTGGTATCAGGTCCAACATTTTCCAAACTCCGCGCATTCAACTTTTTCTCCAATTCCACCATCTGGCGACGATAGTCATCATCGATCATCCTTCGTGTAGACCGACCATATTCATCTTCTTCCTCGTCATCCTCGTCACTCATCACGTAATATTCATCTTCAATAGAAAATTCACTTCCTGATTCGTCCAACTCCAGTTCTGCAACAACAGCACCAACCTCCTCAAGGCTGTACTGTAACATTTCTCTTCTCAGAGCAGCATCTTCCGGGGGCTCATCTATATCTATATCGGCAGTCGCGTCATTAGTATGGGCAGTTTCGAGGACTAATGAACGGTTGTTGTTCTCGATTCCAAAGGTGTTAGCGGTAGTACCCAAACCAGCAGCAGACTCTGTAGTAGCGTCAAGTGGAGGAGTAGCCTCCGTAGCCGTTGTTGCGGTATCTGATTTTGTGTTTGAAACACCTTTAGTAGAAGGTATCTCTTCAACGCGTAGTGAAGAATCAGGACGCCTAACGGAGTCAGTGTTCTCCAGTGAAGTGTCACTTTTGCCTTCTTCGGCCAGTGATGGTTTATCATCAGTCTTCTCCTTCGAAAGATCCATGCCTGCTTTCTTCAAAGCCTCCAGAATTCCGGGTGCAGCCTGCTCAGGAGTGGTTGTAGAACTCGAAACAACGCGGTCGTCGCCATCAAGCTCCTCAACGATATCTGTAATGGGTAGGCCTTCTTCGTCGACTGCGCCAGGGTGTTGAACCGTGAGGATAGCCTCGAGCTTCCCTTCTGCAGCTGAGACGCGCTTCTCAAGCACTCCGATATTTTGCTGAACATAGTCCATCCGTCTTGATATAGCATCCACCACCTGCTCTTTTGTCCTCGTCACACCATGCTTCACGCCCAGTAGAACCTTGATCTCGTCCTCGTTGACAAGGGATCCGCCAAACTCTCTCCCGATCTTGAGAAAATCTTCATGTTCGCTGTTTTCTTCTAGTTCTGAGATGGTATTCTTCAGCTCATCGTATTCTGCATGCCACATTCGCCAGTTGTAGAGGGATTTCCTAAGCTCCAGGATGCTATCTTCGAGTTGCAGCCGCTGCCGCTCAAGACTTGCAAGGTGATCTGTCGGTTGTGCCATGGTAAAAGGGATTGAAATAACTCCTATACAGACTAAGAAGCATGTATATAGTGAGGCTGAGCTATCTATCCATCAGTGTCGTATGAACGAGATGTGTACTCCGTAGAGTGAGGAAGAATGATACTTTGTGCGCGGGAAGAATTCTCCGTGGCTGCGGCGGAAGAGGCTTCTTCCCATTGGTGGCGCCAGCCAGGACACAGCTCCATCCTGACCTCACCCATCTCAGATTAACCAACCTTCACATATTTAGACACAAACAATAAAAACAACTACAACACCACTTGTCTGGTAGCCGGGATCCTTGCCTACCAATACCAAGCAGACTATTCAGTCTGTCCTCCCTGGATTCCACTATTCGCCTGTAGCATGTCTTTCCAGTCTAACGGCACACGGAACCGCGGCGAAGAAGATGGTGAGCCTCTCCACCAGCACCTGCGCAGCCTCAACCTACGTGTACATCCAACCGGAGCTAACATGCCTGACCATGGGACTGATTCAGAGGTGTGTCCTGTGTGCAAGTCGTCACGGTACCTCAACCCGGATATGCGATTTCTTATAAACCCGGAATGCTACCATAAAATGTGCGAGTCGTGCGTGGATCGCATCTTCTCGTCAGGCCCGGCCCCATGTCCAGTTGCTGGATGCCATAAAACACTCAGGAAGAATAGGTTTCGGAAACAGACGTTTGAGGATATTGGTGTAGAGAGGGAGGTTGATATAAGAAAAAGGGTCATGCAAATGTATGCTAAGGTGGCCTACTCTGGGGATTCCCACGCGTTCTTTTATAGACACTTACGCAATCATTTAACAGATTGAACCGCCGCGAGGATGAATTCGACAGCAAGCTAGCCTACGACAACTTCCTTGAGCAGCGCGAAGACATAATAACCAATTTGGTTTCCGGCATCGATGTGGTCAAAACGGAAGCCCAACTCTCCCAATACGCCGCAGCAAACGCAAAATCCATCCGCCGTAACCAAACCCTCGAATCCCAAGAATCCGCTGCCTTCCTGAAAAACCAGTCCCTCGAACAAGAACAAATACGACTACGCCGTGAAGCAGCCCGGCAAGACTATGATAATGAAAGACGCGCCCTTCTCTCCGGACGAGAAGACATCCTCACCCGTCTCGCAACAGGCAGCGTGGAAGAAGCAGAAGCTATTGCAAAAGACGGCAGACAGAGCATGCTCAAGAAATCCTCCGCACGACGCAGCGAAGAGGACCGCCTGAAGCGCAAACAAGCAGCTCTCCTGGTCGACTCCAAACGCGCTCAGGCTCTAGCCGACGCAGCCGACAAAGGAACCGCGCCGGCCTTCGACTCCGACCTCGTCAAGGGCTTGCGGAGGATCCAGACGCCCGAGCCAGAAAAGCCATACGATCCTTTTGGTGGAATAAGGCTCGATGGCCGTGACTATTACCAGCTACAAGGCCATTACCCCTCTACGTATCTTGATCCCATCAAGGATAATGTCCAGATGCTTGCTGGGGGGTATAATTTGGGAGAGTACTATGCCCGCTCATTGCTGGAGGCATTTGCGGGGCTGGGATGTTTCATCGATGAAGAAATCGCCGCGAGAAATGCTGCGACGAATCCGTCACCGACGGGGCTCGCGGCATCAGCTGCTGCAAGCACGCCCATTCCCGTTGACGAGGAAATGTTATGACCACTACTTTGGTTTTTCTCGGCCACAGTTATTACTTTTCATGGGCATTCTGGGTCATCTTTGTGTGTTTATTCCCCACTGACCTTGTCTCTTTTCTATCTCTCTTCTTTTTTTGTTTAGCCTAGCAACATTATCACGCCATAGCGACGGAGTTCATGGAGTTCATTGGCCTTAATGGAAAAATGGGATTGGATAAACAACAAACTGGGGGGTTTTTCTTCGTTAAATATCCATGCATTAAAACAGTTAGAATTAACAGTTGGGAAGTTTTCCGTCCTTGGACCTATATCGAGTCGACTATATGCGCTGCACAATTGAATAGCACAATAATAATAACCTCTGGTCAAATCCTCAGCTATAAAGTCTCAGCGTTATCCAGAAAGTTTCAATGCAATCATAGAGCAACGGGGAGACGCTGGAAGAAAAATATTACCATTCGAATAAATCTGAAACGAAGCAATGTATAAAGCTCTCAGCCAAAAAATAAAACGTAATAATTAACCCGTAAAACATAGACAATACGCCCCCGGCCCCTTACACGAGTCGAGCCTGCATGCAACCAAAAACCCCATGTGCTAAGTGAGAAATGTACCAAGACAAAAAAGAGGAGAATAACAGAAGGCCTCAAAAAAGCTGGAGAGGAACAGTAACCTCGTTTAACCAAAACAGTAAGGGATTTCTGGCAGGCGAGGAGGTTGAAACCGAAGACCCTTAACAATTTTCCACCAATTCTAGAAACTCAACACGAACAAATACCAACAATGCCACACGAACCGACACCGTTAGAACGAACATAACCGACCGGCCAAACCAACAGCTCTTCTCAGACACGAGAACTCAAGCGGACATACACTCAACTTGTGTGTTAAAACAAAATCAAGTCAGTCAAACGCGAATTCAATCGCATCATAAAGAGCTGGGTTCGGCCGGTGAATGACATGAAATCCACTAATCCTATACCCGGGCACATTCCCAAGTTGATTGAGTCAAAATCACAAAATTGTGAGACAAAAAGCAACAAGTCAGTCTGAAACCCAAAGCCAGGATAAAAGTGAAAAATGAGACAATTCCGTAGTTGGAGTCAGTCTGTAAGGGGAAGCGAGAGGCATCAGTATTCGTGAAGGCTTGCATCCGGCGGGAAATGATGATCGATACTCCGGATGCCACTTCTCCATCTGATCAGATCTCCCAAGAAGTTGATTCAAAACAACAAACGTATCCCAAATGGTAAGAAGCTCCGAAACCCAACAAATGCATAGAAGACCAGACGGATATATGATCAATAGAGCTCTCTCCGGCGGTCAAGTTAAGAAGAAGCCTTTCCAGCTTTCCTAGAGAAACTCCGACCGGTCACTTCACCAGTGCTCTCAAATCCTTCCCAAGGAGGTTCGTCGTAATCACTACCACTGGCGCTGTCTTGAACCCTCGTGGCTCCGTTCCCCTTGGTATCATCTCGGCGCCGACCGTCCGTATGATCACCAGCATCCTTTCCTGAGACCCGGCCAAGTCCAATGGACTGCAGAGTAACATCCACCTCTTCTTGCGTCATCTCATTGCCATCTTCCTTCTGTCCCTCTAGAACGTCGTACAGAGCATAAATCTGATCAGACTTCGTATCGATCTCCCTGAGCAGGGATTCGATAGTCTGCAGGACGAATTTTCGTTGCTTCTTGCCAATTGACGCATCATGCTTGTTCAATTTTGTCTGTTGAAGAGCAAGTTGCATTTTCAGATGTGCCAGCTCATCTTCTAGCGATTTGAGAACGGTTGCAAGAGCCACGGCAGGTGGCTGTGACGGACGCATGGTGGGTTCTTCATTGTACGGCGACGGCTCTGGCATGCGATCGGAAACAGGGATAGGTTTAGTGACCTTAATGGAGTCCGGTCCTTCTCCATTTCTATGGTCATTGATGGAATTCTTGTTCATAACGCTTTTGCAAACCGCACAGTTTTCGCCGTCATGCTGCGCAACATCATCCAAAACACGCTGGGCAGCTTCGGATAGCTTGAGTGGCTCTCCAGGTTTAGCAGTAACGCCATGCATCGTAATATCAGGTAGAATCAGCGCCGATGTCATTTCCTGGGTTCTCTTTTGTCGGCGTCTGGAGCCAGCTGTGGAGGTGGAATGGTTTGTGATATTACGCTGTGACAAGTCTCGCGTATTGCCAGTTGTTCTTTGTTCCGTGATGTTGAAGTCTGGCATTTCAACCGTCCCAGTGCGCCTGGCTCTGGATGCAGTATTCTTCAGGGATGACTTCAGTGGTGCGCTATGTGCAAAATCCCCAGATGGTCTTAGCCCGAGGTTGCTAATTTTACTTTGCTCAGTGAAGTCTCGGTTGAGGCGGGTTTTGCGGGCAACCCTTTGCTCCTCCAGTGTTTTGCGAAGCTGGGCTATCTCATTGGCCTATTTTGATTCCTGTTAGCGGGATCTCGTTGAGGTTTGACAACGGGGATCTTACGTCAATAAAGCTGAGAAATGTCAAATCATTTGCTGACCCAGGGCGATAGCGAAAACCTCTTGTTTCCGTCCTCATTTCTCCCGCCGAGAGCTCTCCATCATCCAAATGTTCAACAACAGCTTTCTTGGTGCGCTGTTTTCCGGTGTTAGGAAGCTTCCTTTCAGCGGTATTTGCTTGGGTCCTGGTATTCTTAGTGGGTTGTTGAGCAGTAAGATGGGACAAGTCTAGGGAGAATAGCGCGTCATATTCAGCCTGCTTCTGTTGCCTAGCAGCACTATCTTTCGCACTATATGGTTGCGTGCGATCTTGGTTGATTTTATCCGAGCTTTGCCGTTGAGCATCAACGTTGACATCTCGGGCTGGCTTGGTTCGATTGGTCTCTGTTGCTTCAGTTGGGTCCCTAGCGGCGATGTCTCGACGGTTTATCTTGGAATCACGAGTCTGAGTACGTCGCATACCATCTGCCACCTCGGAGTACTCAGTCAGCGATTCAAGTTGAATCCTCAGTTCGTCGTTCTCCTGTGCTAACGCCTCATTTTCCATCTTCAGTTCTTGCAAATTAAGATAAGCCACGCCCAACTGGGTCCGGGCGGAGTCACGTTCATGTGTTAAGTGTTTAAGTGTAGTTTCATGGCTGGAGATTTTGCGGGTAGAGATATCCAACCGATTCTGAAGGGCCGAATTGGCTGCTTCCAACCCTAGATAGACACTGTTAGAAATAAGGTCGGGTTGTGTGCAGATCAATATACACTCACTACTCTTTTGGATAGAAAGTTTGCCGACTCCTCCATCGTTAACATCCTCATCACCACCATACATACTGAAGCGTCGTTTGTCTTGTTTGAGCCGACGGACATTTTCACTCTTCAAGATCATGTTCTCCTCTTCCAATTCCTCGAGCCTATGTTCCATGTCGGATTTGTTCATCTGCAAGGCTTCAACTTTCTCCTGAAGCAATTTTAACGATATAAAAATAGCCTTTTCGTCATCCGGCACGGGCATAGAGTCAAGAGGGAAATGTTCGATGCGTTGACAATTAGTAGTTGCTACAGCAGGTGGTGAAGTGAAGCGTGTCGTTCGAGATCTTCCCTTTGGAGTGCCATCCTCATAGATCCCAGAAACGAGCTCAGAGAGATTCGGTATATCAGGAAGAGCATATGACTGGTGAGTAAAATTGTCGGTATTACCATTCTTTTCGGGAATTTTCGCTGCTAGCTGCTTTCTAGGGTGTCCATGTTCTGCGTCTCCGCTATGATGCTTGAGATAACTTTTACCAGCCGCTTTGTTGACCGCATCGACGATTCTGGCGCCTTGGGCTTGAGATCGCGTGTTGCCGAAACGAGTATTTCTCGCAGTAGCTGCGACTTTTACCGGCCGTTCATCGCTAATGTATGACCCGTCGTACGTCTCACTGGCTTTAGCGTGCATCTCAGATAGCGTACGGCGCTGGCTTTCGCTTTTATTCTTCACTTCTTGAGGGAGGTTATTTTCTTTCAAGGCGAGGCTGGCGCGTCGTATCTGGGCATCTTTACGAAGGCTATCTCTTCCCGATGAACCTCGACTTGGAATTGGGCGCAGAGCAGCCCTTTGGGAAGAGTTACCGAAACGATCACCCCTAATTGCTGGCGATACAGCATATCGACTCTCGTCCACGCTCATAACCGAATCTCTCGAGTCATCTAACGGTCGGGTGGGTTTCTTTCCTCCCCGTCCAATCTCTATCGACGTGTCATCCTCATCCTCTGAGCTAGATGCGTCGGAGAACTCTGGGAAAGCTCTATGAAGAGCCGATGTGTCGATGGCGAAGTCTGGGTCTGATTCCGGTTCTGCGTGCGCGTCATGTCGTTTTGCACGCTTTGGTAGGGGTTGGCGGTAGTTGTTGTCTAGCTGCCTCGTCGACACAAGGGCTTCGTGATCTGGTTCAAAATCGGACGTTGTTTGGTCTCGCGATGCATGGCTGTTCGCCATGACATCGGATGTATTGGTGTGATCAATCGGCGACATTGGGCCGAAATTCTAAATCATACGCGACAAATTCTCGATATTAGCAATTAATAGCAACTGTGCACATAGGAAGACATGAAGGACGAGTGTGAAAACAAATTAGCCGATTATACTGTGAAGATGGGAGGGGTCTGGAGGAGTACCTTTTTGCGTGGAAGGTCGTGTCGCGTCGGTTTTGATTGTTTGTTTAGGCGACAGCAGCAGATTAACTCGAAATGAATACAGACATGAACTGATATAGACAAGTAAAACAATGGATTCCGCTAAAGAGAAAATGCCTGCAATGTTAGTACAGCCCAATGGCCGATGGATAGGTGGTGTGGGAGTGTCGAAGTCTCGCGGTCGTTGACATGTGGATGTTGATTTATTCCGTTTCGGGAGGTTTGTTTACATTGGGAGTGACGGAATACACTAGGCTGGTTCGGGGCTAGCGTTCATATAGACTAAGCCTCAGAACTTCTCGCCGAAGAACTCTATTAGTTACACACAATAACTAACCAAGAGATTGCATGCCTGTCCATCTCTGTCTATGCTATATACATGTACCCACACGGCGGTAGGAGATCCAGGACTCCCTTTAGCCATGTTGATTCTCGCTTGTTATAGCTTCTTAGGACTCCAATAACTACAACCGACAATTGAATCTCAATGCACAACCGAAGGAGCCAAGGCTTACAATAACAGAAACTCCCACGCAAACCGGTTTTATGGGCTCCTCCCGATTTTTTTTCCCCATGAGCGCTACTCAGTGGCTAAGCGTCCTCTAAGAGGTTGGATATGGGGAATCACGGAAAATTAAGGAGGAGTATAGAGTTTGGATAGAACCCATTGAACAGACATGACCATGTCGAGCCGAGCATGCATGTCAATCCGGGTAACAAGCTGGAATTAGATTTTCAACCCAGAGCCTCCAGCGATGTGTATTGGACAACAAATGAATATCTGGGGATACGAGATGGATAGAACAGCCAAATGAGCCTTGCCGCACAGCGGGTGAGAATCACAGGAGAATGATCAACGCAGCGAGATATATTAGTTAACGGAAGAGGGGAGAACAGAGAAAGATAGGCAAGCCGTTTCAAGGACCAACACAGTCAGAACATCGCCCTCGCATTTTTATGTATCAACAGAGCAGATATTGGGCTTCTAAGCTACGCCACGGTGAAAGCAACCGATCGGAAATCAAATGTCCAGGTCTCAAAGAAACGGCTACGATTCTCTCTAAGCCTGTTCCCTCACAGGAGATACAGTATAAACCAGACTGCAATCTGTGAACCCCTTTCAAAACAATCATTAGGGGTAATAATATGGAAAGGCCCTTCGCTTAGTCTCGCTGTTGCTCAAGCAGATCCCCGAGCGATCAAGATTAGAGTTGCCGAAAAGCTTCTAGTCGGCTCCAACGTTTGAACATGCGGATGACGAAATTTTACTTTAAAGCCGACGCCCCGCACTCCGCAATTCGCATCTCATCCTCTTCGTACTTCCACTTTCCCTGTTTGTTCAAAGATTGCGTGTCTTGGACAAACCCTATCTTGTCTCTATGAAACTGCTCACTATCTGGTTATGATATCAAGCGATCTATCTACAAAAACGACTCTACATAATAAGATTATAGCATCATCCTCCTGACCTGATATTCGACTCATCTCTAGAGACCGAGAATAATACGCACAAAGCTCCCATAACCATGGCCTCGCTATCCTTATCAACCCTCACCACCCTCTGGCCCCAAATAGCCGCATCCTACCCCCCGGGCCTCATCGAAGTCACCGTCACCATCCTCGCCCAAATCCTCGGCTTCTGGCTCCTCTGCACCCTCTACCCCGCTATCGATCTCGCATTCCCGGCCTTCTCCAGCAAACACAAACTCCAATCCTCCCGCCGCCAACCTACCTGGGCTGCCATAACCCACTGCTTTCAGCGCGTCCTGACCGCAAACCTCCTCTCCACCGTCCTGCACGTCGCCTTCGCCTTCGCGACAAACTTCCAACACACCCTCTTCACCATAACGTCCACCTACCCGACCCCGCGCGAACTTATCGCCGACTTCGCCTACGCCCTCCTCCTGCGTGAACTGCTTTTCTACACTGCCCACCGCTCCCTGCACCATCCAAAACTATACACGCGCTTCCACAAACAGCACCACAGCTTCACCGCCCCCATGGCCTTTGCCGCGCAATACGCCCACCCGCTCGAGCACATGCTGGCCAATGTCATGCCCATCGTGCTCCCGCTCGCCCTGCGCCGCGCGCATATCTTGTCATTTGCGTTATTTTTGACCTCAATGCTGATAGAGACTGCAAGCGTGCATAGTGGGTATGACTTTGCTGGGGCGCGCAAGCATGATTTGCACCATGAGAAGTTTCGGGTTAATTATGGGGCGCTGGGGCTGTTGGATTGGGTCTTTGGGACGGATGTGGTGGGGTGGGATCGGAAGGAGAAGAAGGAAAGTTAGGTTAATCTTAAAAATATTAGTTTGAAGTGGTGGGAGCTGATGAATTGGTGCTTGGATATAGGCTCTCCGTGTGCTTGTAAATATGTATATTTTTGGTGTTTTATTGCCATTTCACGCCAGGGTCAATGAGAGTATGAGAAATGTATCGATATATATACTAATACCAGCTCTGATGAGCCGAGCCTATCATTTCGTTCTGTTGCTGAGGGTGAGTCGTCCACAGAACTCTCAAACCAGACAGAGGGTTGACTATGAAATTGGCAAGTCGCCCGTCCCGATATCATTCAGCAAAGGGGTAATTATTTGTTCCCCTGCTGATCTGCCTTTTTTATTTTTTGGTTTCTGACATGGACAAATTCTTCCGAAATCCCATTTAGCAACAATGAATTTGTTAGCACGTCCCCCGGTTGAGACGTCCTATTTCATTAATCCACCTTCTCAAGGCGGAATCCCACAACCGTTAAAATTGGCCGGTTGTCTGAGATGCATCCCTTTCCTTGTCGAAATCCTCGACTTCATCGGATTCTATAGCGCTGCGTTCTACGTCCGCGAAAAGATCACTCTCCCTTAGACGACAGCGGAAGAGTTCCATACTCAACGCGGGAGGTTGGGAGATTCTTCGACGCCACGAAAGGCGCAGGCAGATGTATCCAGCGCCATTTGCGTCTGCAAAAGAGCACCGTGTTCTTCGGACGTTGGGGAAACCCGCAAGTTCACAAGCGAAGAACTCGAAAATCTCAACTCGCTCAAAGAGGAAATGTTTTCTTGTTGAAAGAAAACCGTAATCCAAGCATCTGGATGTTATTCTGGCGCTGAGTGCGACCCGGGTGTCCCATATGTCACGTTTCCATTTTCACATTTATAGCTGCAAGAACCATGAAGGATGCTGCTCAAAGCCATGCTTAGTGATTAACGGGAATGACTTCCATGCCCATTGCACTGCGGAATGCAAGTGTTGCGAGCGTCAGCACGATAGTATCTAGTAAGTAGTTACTGTCCAAGAAACGATCAAATACAGAGCGAGGTACTGCCATCTACTGGGAATTGGTACCTAGTGAATTACCTCCAGCTTCTCATCTCCGTGTATCGTATCAGCTTAACAGCCACCATTGAATCTTCCATCGAATCCACCGTTGAATCCTCCATCAAATCCGCTGTTGAAATCTTCCATCGAATCCGCTGTTGAATCCTTCATCAATTCCACTGTTGACTCCATTGAATCCATCTCCAATTCAAAGCAGTCCAATACCTCAATTTGATGAATACTTCAATTGATTGACAAGAGAACAGTTGCTTGATATGAATATTGACAAGAGTATATTTCAAATTATAAGAGATGGGTTAAAAAGTCCATTATGATAGACAAGATTGCAGGAATTCCAATCATCTTTATTCACTGTTTATAGTGATGAGAACAGATCTTATACTGTTTCACTTCTAAATCTGGATTAAAATGAATTTCAATCTGAATCTTTCTAGTTATTACAATACTATTCTATATAAGTAGATCTGAAATATTCTTTTGTATCTTTTTCTCTCATGAAGTTCTCAACTGTATGATACAAAAAAGTTTCAAAATCTTCATTAAACTGAGTATCTAACTAACTCTTCAATTCTGATAAGATATCTGATGTGATCTTTGACTTTACATCACATGTTGAATGAGGTTCTCTAGCAGTTTCAAAACAGCAAAGATTTCACTGAATTCAATATACAGTGATCAGATGACAATCAATGCTCTGCATGATCTCAGCAGGTATATAATCATTCTTAAGAAAGTGTACAATCCCATTGATGATGAAATCGCTGAGTTGAGATGACATATTGATGATAAAGGTAAGAAAGACATGTATTTGGATGATAATTGAATGATTCTAGAGAAACATGGATATTTTGATTTTTTTGTGGTGTTTTGCTACTAATTTTCAGGGGGTGCTGGGAAAATTCTGTTTTTGCAAGCAATACGTCCGCCACAATATCCTCTCTCATGTACGCCAGATTTTTCTCAAACCAGAAGAGTGCAGGGGTGAAAGACAAGCAAGTCTTCTGGCACATACAGGGAAACTATTTACATCGTGACCCCCGCTAAGTTCAAGTTTGACAGACTGGAATGCAGAAAAGGATTTATTCCAGTTCACCCGAGGTCGCTTTGTATACGAGGAAACCGATCAATTAAAACAGCGGTACATTCAGTTCGATCTCAAGCAGCTTGGTGAGATTGCTGCACAGGCAGTCGGTGCTGCACGATGCGTCAAAATTGAGAAATGTCCCGATGGCCTATACAACAAGGCCTACATCCTAACTATGGATACGGGTAAAGAAAGTCATTGGGAAGGTCCCGAACCCGAACGCTGGCATCGAGCACTACACCACAGCCAGCGAGGTTGCCACCATAGATTTTGTAAGTTAGGCCGTCAAAAAATTCCAGGCATTATTATATTGGTCAGTGTTCTGATGTGATATTTTTATAGATGCGAAATGTTTTACAGACTCCGGCACCGCAGGTGTATGCCTGGAATTTCCGGGTTGATAGAAGCAATCCGGTCGGTGCGGAGTATATTGTAATGGAAAGAGTGCAGGGTATTCGTCTCGCCCGAGTCTGGGACTCGCTTCAGCTGCAAGATTGGATCAAAATATGTCTGCAAATTTTCAAATACCGAAAAAAAGTGGACCGCGGCCAAATTTTCACAGTTCGGAAGCCTCTACTACTGCCAGGACATCGAGTCAGCAGCACCGACCCAACTGTACGTTGATGAAGCAGGGTACTCTGTTGATAGTTCCCAATTCACTGTAGGCCCTGCTGTTGGCCGAGAATGGGTTGATGATGGCAGATGGAATCTGCGGGGTGATCGTGGCCCATGTAAGTCACGACTTCCTATCTCCATTGTTCAGCATCTACTCACCATCTTATAAGGGTGGTCCATTCTTGACCTTCGCTCAGCGATTGGGTTTCGAGAAGCTACTGCTGTCAGAACATCCCAGCAGACACATAAACAACTTGTGATGTTTTATGGACCCGGAGTTCATCAGCCGTCTGCCGCGAAGAAACTTGCAGCAATCGAGTCATACTCCCAAATTGTGCGCGTCCTGCTACCCAAGGAACCGGCCTTTACCACAGGCCACCTCTGGCATAATGATCTCCATTTGGAAAACATATATGTCAACCCTTCCAACCCCAGAGAAATTCTCGGCATTATTGATTGGCAGTCTGTTCAGATAATGCCTCTATTTGACCATTGCCTGGACCCAGATTTCATAGGCTATAAGGGACCAGACGTAGGAGATGATCTCGAACCTCCTATAATACCTAAATATGTCGACGACCTCGATCCGCCTGACCGCGCCATTGCTATAAAACAATTCTACACCAAGTGCCTCATGATTGCATGGCGGACGGTGGTGAAAGCCAAGAACCCTGCCCAATATAGCGCCATTCAATTCAGGGGATCTAAAGCCGGCCATCTTGGACATCTTATCCAAAATATTGCTGTGCTTGGTGAAGCGCATGCTCGAGCGTTATTGCTCGATGTAAGGGATGAGTGGTGGCAAATGTCTTGGTATTCGGATCCAAAATTCCCGATTGAGTTCTTAGAAGACGAAGTCACCGAAATTGAAAATGATGTGTAGGCTGCTGATATGGGTATTAAAGTTATGGTTACAATCAAGGAGCGGTTAGGGGACTTGTGGCCTGAACAGGGCCTCATCGAGCACCAGAATTACGAAGTCGTGATGATTAAATTGATGGAGATCAAATCCGAGCTCATGGATGCGCTTGTGAAAAATGAGGAAGATAGGGAGGTATTCTTGAAATATTGGCCGTTTGATTGCTGAGAGTGACAAGGACGTAAGTTGGCGGGACTCACTGGTTACACAAAGCAGGGCTTAAGGCGTAAGCGGCCAGATCGGGTTTATTGTACTGTACTTTCGTGTCTCCTACTTGGTCCCGCTTGTCCGTATGCCAAAGCTGTCTTCCCAACACCCAACGAGGAACTAGAGACACGGAGGTTCGGCTGATTACCATTATTGGTGGTTGAAGTATGCTGCCCTTGGCGGTCTTCCAAGGTTGATACTTAAGGCCACATGTATAAGATAGAGCCCACCAGAACAGCCTTGGAAGCCATTCCTTCCTCAGCCTCACCTATTCTTGCCACTTTTCTTCTGTTTCCCTTTTTTGTGGTACTCCATAAGCATTCTATTAGCATCCGTTATTGTTGTTGATTGTCTTTATTTTCTTGCTCTTGTTGTTTTCATCTTGCTATTATACCCTTCTGCTGCATTTTATTCTCTGCACTGATTCTGCTGCAACCCCTTGTCATCAGGTCTTTGTCATGACTCATCAGAAGATAGGGTTCAATTTCCAAATCCATCAATCTCTTTACCCCTCTCTATTATGGCCGTTGTGGAGGTTAGAGAATTCGCACTGGTGAGAGAACCTGGTCCAGAGCAAGACCAAGAGATCAGGGGGCTGAAACCCAAGAGCTCTGAATTCTGGACTGGAGGATGAAGAAGAGGAGCGAAGGCCAAGCTCTAAACATCATCAATTCTCAACATTCCAAGAGCAAACCTCTGATAGAGGACTAATGAAGAAGGTCCAAGATTTCCTGAATACCCTCGAAAGGAGACGAGAGGAAGCATCAGAACAAGAAAACTCCTGCAACTTTCATCAACTAAACCTCCTGATCAGTTTTACAACTCTTTGAATGGACCCTTACCTGGCAAGGCTGAGACTCAAATTGAACAGGCTTTGCAACAGTTCAAGCTCCTCATCTGCCGCCTCAATCTTTGGATCCTTCCTAAACATGGAAGACTCTACCTGAAAAGCTGAAATGAGAGGAATTATTCTGTAATGTTTCTTTTTTGACCCCTGGGAGATCTGACGTTATAATCCCAGATCTTGTTCAACTTCTCACTCTTTTTTTCTTGCTTCTTTATTCTCAGATCGGAGTGTTCTTTGACAACACTGATAATTTTTCTATCTTCATATTCTCAATCTTTCAATGAGAATCCTTACACCACACTCTGGTCCTTCCCCGCTCAATCTGTCATGGAGTTTCTGTCTACCCTCCTCTTTTATGTCCGGCACAACACCCACATAGAAGCTAACAAACCTCTTGTTTCCGCATGAAGATTCCATTCCACATGTTTCTGCCCACGTTGGGGCTGCTGCATCAGGAACTGGAAATGGTTTGCTGGGCCCAAGAACTCCATTTCAACAAATGCAACACACTGTTTGGACGGGGTCTATCTGGGGAATTTCAATGTTCAAACAACGTTGTGCTGATCAGCATAGCGCCGACAACTCCCGCGTTGGCAATAAACCTCTGACCTCTTTCTGGCCCGGGGGAGGGGGAGGCGTTTTCAAAAGGCGACGACCCATAAGGTAATAGAATTTACCGAATTGGGAAGTCAGAGTCAGTTTTGACATGATGGTCGTGTTTCAGAGCCTCCTCTCAATACCTATAGGGCACCAACCCTGGAATTTCAATTGAGCGTAACGGCACACTTTACAAGGTGCAAAAAATACTAGTATATACATATATATCTGTACGCAAGCCAAAACGTACAGAGTTGCTCGGCCCCTACGACACCAGCCTCTCATCCAAGTAGTAAAGAGACGGTACAACCCCCCGATTGCATTCACATCATCAAGCATCCGGGCTCGGGTCCCGGGCAGGGCACGAGATCCAATACTGCACCCCAGGGCTCACCCCCTCAAGCCATCTTCGACAGCGTTTCCCACCTCGCAGCTCATTGCAAAAGACTGTCTCCTCAACCCCACCAGCACCGCCAATAGCACCCGCCTTATCACCACGACAAAGCAAGTCAAAGCAATGCGCCGGGATCACAAACTCCAACTCCTCCAACGTGGATGCCAGGTGCCGGACCAGCTTGTCCACGGGCCCTAGCCACAACTCCTCCCAGCTTAGATTGATCGCGTCTTCCACGTCACCGGGATCATGCTCACCGGCTCTATCTGGGAGGTTTGTTACGTGCAGCCGGACTATTTTCACGGGGGCCATGTAGGAGAGCGAGGTTAGGAGTTTCTGGTACGTCGCTGATCTCGTGACGGGCAAGCGATATGCATTGCGGTGTGGTGTGTTCGATAAGTTAAACTCTATGGATGAGACGGATTGGAAGCGCTTTTGCAAAGGTCGAGATGTAAAGATGGAGGTGTCTGCATCTCTATTGAAATTGAAGATATTTCTAGTGTAGAGGAGAGGGATACATTCGGAGTATCTTTGGCGGAGGGGGCAGGTGAGTTCAAGCAGTGCACCGGTCAGCATTCGTACGCCTTTCTATTTCGTGTAAAGTGGGTAAGGGAGAGGGGAGGGGAGGGGAGGGAATGACTCACATCCTCCTACAAGTTCTTAAAATCTCTAAATACAGGCTATCCTCTGATCCATTGCCACACTGACAGGTCACTTTCCTGTTCTCGTTGTAGCCGCTGATAACTGTGTCCCAAAATTTCCGATCCCACCTCGCACCAGTGTGCCGGCAGGCTTTGAGCACTCTGTATCCCCGGTAGTCTAACAAAATGATTATTATCCATACTTTTAGCAGTGAGTTGAAAAAGCTTTGCGATTATCCACAACGAGGCGGTAGAGAAAGAAGGAAAATAAAACAATCCGCGATTTGGGGAAACCTAGCATCCCGGCTGAGCAAGAATCGAGACCATAGAAAAATAACGTACAACTGGTATCCACATGCAACACTCGATTGCCCAACAAAACTTCGAATATCAAAAACCGAATTTCAGGCGGGAGGGCCGTATATAGTGTACAATGAGCCTGCGGGGATGTGTATGCCCAAGGATCGGAGAAGGGCGAGTCGACCCAGTCTGGAAGCGGATGAGTGATACCGCGACGTCGACATTGCGGCAGACGGGGCCGTAGGGGTGGCGACTTGTCGGACCGATTGTGGCAGTAGAGAGAGAAGTTTAGGGGAGCATCAGGCGGGAATGTGTAGTATGGGTTCGGCATTGTGGTTGTAAGGTTTTTGTTGCCCGGTCTTTTGTGCAGTACTAGTAACTAATAAGGGGGTAAAGGATGGCGGAGGCTGGCCGCTGGAGCTTGTTCAGGCGAGAGTTTTGGGAAGACTGTCAAAGAGCTGTCTCGCTCTCTCTCTCTACGTTGTAAGAAGAAATATTGATGCAATTGGAAATACTGGGGTGGTATCAGCTGAATGCTGATATGAAGCGCTGATGGACAGCCCAGCGTAACAGGCATTTGCCGACAGGTCAAGCGGTGCGGAGAGAGCTCTCCGATGTTCGGCTTACAGCGTACGTAGTAAGTACTGTAGGCTACTGGGGCAAAAGAGCTCAGTCACCACCAGCGCACTGCTGGTAGAAGGGCCGATCAACCCGGGACCCCCAACAAGTACAGCTTAAGTCCCGTGTGTCCCCGTGGTGTCACTGTGTGGGGATGCGGCGATATAAATAGCGACGAGAAAGGGGCTAAAAGGGGAGCTAACAAGGATGATTTGTTACATAATCTGTAAGGGGGCCGGGAGTAAATCCTCAAGATTCGGAAGCTAGATAATCCATGAAATAGAATGGGACTCAATGTAGATAGGTAGTAAATAGTAACGTGGGAGTGTGAAACACTACCAGAAAGCAAAATATAATAAACCAAACAAAGTTGCCAATATGTACCAAGATCTATCTCAGGTTGTATATATATAGTTATGTAATGCACCAAATCCCCAAATACCCTAACTCGGAACTCCTTGCTTTAAGGAAATGTGTAGGAAGAAAATGCGTGCGACTGGTAGGTTGACGGAAAGTGGAACACCAGCACATTGAGCTACAGGGAATGATAACAGATGGAAACAGAAAGGGGGGAAAAAAGGTAGGTAATCAAACAATAGCCGGAGGCATATTTAATACAGGGTTTGGGTGGGGAAGGAAGGGGCCAGAGTAATGGTTATAAGTCCGTTAATCATGCAATACAAGTGAATATATGATAGCTGCCGTTAGAATTAAGAACCATAGGAGAAGCAAGAAAGCAAGGAACGAGGAATTCAATGGAAGGAGGATTACTGCTAGTGGGACCGGGAGGGAGACAAATCATGGTCCCGTTTGGCTGGCCATGTTTCGCTCAGGAGGGGGTGGCAGCGGGGACACTGGGGTGACGGGGGTACTGGTTCCTGGAGTTGGCAATTCTATTTCGATGCTAGGAACTCCTAGCGCGGGAGGAAGTTGGGGTCCCTGCCCTCTTTCAAGAGTTGGGCTCGGATAAGCTGGCGCTTCACCCCAGTCTAACTGATCGTATTGTGGCGGCTGGGGGATATTCGAGTCCCCAATATCTGCCTCAGGAGTGGTGGAACCCCTTGGGGTATCGTGGTCCGATTGGTTTGTTGCGTTTGAAAAGAGAGAGGAGCCCGATGTAGCGCGCTGACGTGCTCTAGATAAGCTGGTTAACGAGGAATTGCCGCTCGTTCCCATACTTGAAGCGCCATCAAGGAGTGGCCGAGAATCCGATTCTTGGGAACTTGCACGTAGTCGGGTACCATCGTGTCGAACATGGCCCACTTCCGCATATGTAACACTTGCTACTCGCTTATCCCTTCCACGAGACTGGTGTTCAGCAATTAGCGCCGCTGCGCTTGGACTGGTACTACCGTCACTCCGATTTCGGTTCCGCGCTCGACTTTCACGCCGCAGCTCTTCTAATCGGCCCCAGTCGCCGCGTTCTCGGGCTTCTCTCCGTTCCTGCCTTCGTCGCTCCCGGTCTGCGATTTCCTGTCTTCTCGCCAGCCGGATTTGATACAATGATTCCATCTGCTCTTCCCTCCGGGCCTCCTCCTCATCGACTGATTCAGGAAACTCGACTACAACATCCATGCCAGCCCGCTCGCCTTCCCTCCCGATGATTTGCTCGGTTTCTTTCGGGACCGGGGAGTACATGGGTAACGTCATCACTGATCGGATAGAGGTGTTACGATCCACACCACCGTCGCCGGCTCCCCGATAAGACGTATTCTGTGATCGGTTCGAACAAGCCTGTCGCGTTGCTGGGATGACGTCCGGGACCTGGCCATATGCTGTCTTTGGCAGCCAATTCCGCCATTTGTTCTTTAGATATTGTGTAGGGATAAACCTGGGCTCTACATTTCGATAGCGGAGAGATCGGAGGAAGTAGTAGATAAAGAGGGCGACGATTATAGCAGCGAGGAGGGAGATGGCTACCTGAAGAGGGAGAAAAGGGAACACTTGTCAGCTGAACAGGAAACAATGTCCACAAACCTTCTTGATCAAGGAGGCCAGAATCAAGTCTTACAATAATGGGGATCTTTGTCGAGGGGTTATCCTTTGAGATATTGCCCGTCGCCCGCCTTTCGAGATCGTAGCTAGAGGGCTGAGGAAGAAACATTGTACCTAAAATATCTGACAGGCTCATTCAAAGGGAAGCTATATATATCTTTCTCTTCACAGCCAGAACATGGCACCAATAGAACGAGAGAAAAAGCAGCAGAAACGAACGGAAAAGAGCAAAAGAATGAAAGGAAAAGAGCGACGCCGTTCTCGGGAAGATGGAAAGCTGTATGTAAGCTGTCAATGAAGACTTCTTCTTGGGAGGGGGGACTGGCTCTGGATCAGCGGCGACGTTCCCTAGCGGCTGGTGGCTGAGGCTGACTGAAGTTGGCTGGACCAGAACAGAATTGAGCCACGCAACAGGGCGGCGAAGGATCCCTCCAGTATAAGCAGTACGGAGTATAAGTGAGAGGAGTGGACGATGGATAGGTTTAAAAAAAAAACATAAAACTATAAGAACGAAAGACGATAGAGACGAGCGCACGATGGAAGCGAGAAAGATGGCGGGAGGAGAGGGTGAAACAGAGAAGAGTTATGCGGCGGGATGTTTGGCGGTGCAGGCGAATAAGGTTTGGTGGCAGAGGAGGAGGGAGGAGAGGAGGGCTAAGGGCTCTGAATAGCACCAGCAGCCAAAGAAGGGCAGATCGGGCAGATCGGGCAGATCCATAGTAATAATAATAATAATACGCAGTAATTAGTAAATAATCTGTAGGCTACTGGGAAGTAACTAACTAGTTACAGACAGAGTTCCAAGGTTTAGTTAGTGTATACAGAAAACTTCCTGGTTTAGTTACAGTAAACCCTCGTGAAACAACCACCAGCAAAAGCCAGCCCCAGTCCTGTCAGGCTGTCTGTCACTCACTCACTCACTGCCTGCCTGTCAATCAGCTTGTGTCAACCTCAGTCTAGCCCAGCGATAAAGTCAATGGCTGGCCACACCAAACCAACGTCGAACATCCATATTGAACAATGATCTAAGGGTGAATGAATGTGTAGGTGGGATGATCAATTGAAATGATGTTGTGCTTCTTTTCGCTCGTCACCCTAATCTGTAAGTTATTTATTCTGCACATCAACCGCCTCTTGAGCAAAGTTATGTATGCAGTGCACCCTTCTTCTCTTCTTTTCCTGTTGGCTTCAATCATAATTACAAGAAATCCCGAGACATTTTTTGACCCAGTGGCGAGGTCCCACAGTGCTTGGCATAGATATCTTCGCTATACCATACCAGTACAGTACTACTGCTAATGATAAGTTCTATATCGCCCCTTGCAATCCAAGACATCGTACTCTGCTATATTATACGATGCAGATGAACCTTCGACCTGATCAACTTTTCTTCCTTGAAAAAATCCTCGAGATTAAAATCCAAACTGGGGGCGTTTGTTGGTGTGTGCTCTCTTGCGTTATTTGATATTATTATTATTCCCGTCCTACGCCCGGATAGTTACGAGTATGGGAGTTTGGTTCCATGTAACCAAACTTGCCCTTTTTCACGGCTCAATCCAATGACCCGATAGAGGATATCACTCAGAATTTGGGAAACACGGAATCCTTAAATTATTCGGGGAAAACTACAGATTAGAAAAAAAAAACCACCATATTCATGCATGCACCCCGAGCAAATGTGACTTTCCGGCCCGTTTCTTTGACGAATTAGTTTTCAGCAGGGAGATGATAGCATTGCCTGACAGCGTCCGTAGATAGCTCTGAAAGGGATCTATATATATTTCCTGATTTATTTCATTTTATTTATTTTTTCATTTTTCAAAAAAGTTCCTGATTCTGCCAACTATAGTTACTTCACTGACATACTACAGTTATCTATCTACACATAAATATTTGGACATCTTGCTTTTATTCTATTTTATTCGAAGCTGCACGCTGACGAGGGTTGAAAACAGGCACACTCCATCGCAATCGTTACAGCGTCCTGAGCTGCTGTGGCATCGGGCTAAATAGCCTGATATAGATAAGTGTGTACCTACCGTGAACCTGTTCATGTAGGTACTGTACTATACGCGACGCGGAGCTGAAATACAGGGGCAAAAAAAAAAAAAGAAAAAAAAAAAAAACACACGGCCTCCAGAAACTAAACCACATGTTCATGTTAATCCGTCCAAAGGTTGCCGGTGGTTGGCTGGCCCCCGTTTGGGCGGCGGGTTTTCTGTTTAAACATGGAATATCCCCGTGCAACTACAGACTAGTTATTCGGAATAAGGCTGAGTTGACCAGCCCGTGGATGTGTGGGGAACACTCAATGGGTTTAAAATGTTCGCTAGTGCTTGGCTTGATTTTTGACTAATTGGGTGCGAAGCGAGATCTGTTGGTACATACATAGATAGAGATAAGCGCTGTGAGAAGGAGAGGGGGCTATGTGTTTGGTTCTTAGCGAACTGTAGCTGTTACAGGTAGGTAGGCAGGTAGGCAGGTAGGCACGACTTATTAATTCTGTAACCGCCTGATTTGACAAAGAGAATAAAAACACCGAGGGGGTTGGGGAGGGAATATTATTAGCGAATAGATGCAATTGTCTGGGTGAAGTGTCATAATAATTTCAGAAAAGCAGGAAGGGCGGAATCCAACAATAAATCAACATTTCTGACACTCATCACCATCCCTCCCATTCAGTGTAACTAACCTTCTTAACTCTCCCCCTTTTCTCGCCATTAACTCTAAAAAGGGGCCTTCTTCAACAACGTACCCCTTATCAATCACCACAACCTTATCCGCAATCTCCATCATCTCCACCGCATGCGTGATAATAATCACTGTGAGCTGCTGCCTGCCATTTCCCCCCACCAGCAACCCCCTAACCGTGCGACGAATCTGCTCTACGCTGTGAGCGTCAAGGTTCGCTGTGGCCTCATCTAGAATGAGAATGCGTGGTCTCCGCACCAGTGCACGTGCGATTACCACACGCTGTGCCTGGCCGCCAGACATAGACAACCCGCCGTCACCAATTACCGTGTCGTAGCCTTCTGGAAGGGACATGATGAATTCGTCAATCCCGGCTGCTTGGGCGGTGGAACGGATGTTCTCCATCGTGCTGAGGGGGGATGAGCGGTCGAGGCCGTAGGTTATGTTTGCTCTGATTGAGGAAGGGAAGAGGGTGGGTTGTTGGGGAACGATGGAAAGTAAGGACCGTAGGGTTTGGATGCAGATTTTCCGGATGTCATCGCCCCCGAGGGATATTGTACCGCGGTCACTGCCTCCATTGGAAGGTATTATAGGGTATAAAGCGGTGAGAAGGGAGGCGATGGTGGATTTCCCGGAGCCTGAGGGACCAACGATTGTGGTACAGGAATTTTCAGGGATTGTCAAGTTTAGGTTTCGAAGGACTAGGTTCTTGGGGCGGGATGGATAGCTGAAATTCACGTTTGTGAATTTTACGGGTGTTGGTTGGGATGTTTTTAGTTTGCCCTCATCCTCAGGCGAGCGGTTGTTCGGGAGAGTTGCTAAGCGCAATACTCTACATGCAGTGTCTCTAGATGAGCTGATTTGGGGGACTGAAAATTGGAGTTTAGTATACATAATGACTGCTTAGAAAATTAATATATGGACTGGCGTACCGTATTCCAAAGCGGCATTCACGTTCGACAGGCTGAAGAGAAGGAGCGAAAAGACTGTCAAAATATCCTGGGTGGAATATTCTAGCGAGGATGCAAGCACCGCCCCGTAGTAGAACACTAGGGCTATGTCTCTCATGTTAGCCTAGAACATACTCCTCACGCTGTAAGAACTGACATTTAGCACGTACTGTAAACAAAAATGATCGAGGAGTTGGACAATCCAAAAAAGAAGCCTGCATAGCAAGCCTTTTTTAAGCCCAGCGTACGTGTATTCATAAGAACTCCATCTAGCTTCTTGTGAAAGTGAGACTCGAGCGTCAATGCGCGGACGGTTTTGAGATCGAGGAACGTTTCAGAGAATATATCTCCAACCATTTCTCCAGAATCGTTGAGCCTTTTCTCCCATTTACTACTCACACGTTCGAAAGCTCTCGTGATGGCATAAACAATCGGAGCACACGCGAGGCCGACCAGGGTTAGCTTCCAGCACACTGATATTCCCCAAACGATGCACATAACCAATATCACAGTCGCGACAAATAGGAATCCTGCAAACCGTCCAACCAAATTCCTCATCTCTTCTGCGTTGCGATCCAGGCACATGGTCAAATTAGAAGGTTTGTTTTCTTCTTTCTCAAACCATTGTTTTGGCTGAGAGAGGATATGCCGCACGGCCTCGTTACGGAGGCAGTTAATCCAGGCCTGTCCACAATATTCAAGAAGAAAATGCATCACGAATGAGGCAACTCCGTTGGCGACGGACACGCCGATGATTGCGAGGGACCATTGGATAGCCATGCGCGCGCGGTCGCCAGAGAAGAAGAATGCGCCTAGAAGCTGGGCAAACAGATATGCGAAAGTTGGCGTGGCAGCGGCATGGACAAGTGCAGCTACAAGCCCAGCCGCAAGGAAAAACCTACCCCGTGGAGTTAAACGCGGGATAACAGTGTGTAAAATTTCCCAGATGGATAAATGTTTTGGCTCTGTGTTCTTATTGGAAATGTCGCCACGTGGAAACTTGTGGCATTTATCATCTTCGAAAGCGAACTCCCTGGAACCCGCCGCTGAAGAATATGTTAACGTCGGTATACGACTCAGGTCTGGTTCTGTCTTGCTCTCGCGATAAATTCCGTTCAGTTCAATGCTTTCAATGATAGGCGCCATGCCGGCGTATGGATGTGCTTGTCTATAACGGTTGCTGGGAGAGGCTAACGGCTGAACTGTATGTTCCGTGTGGGTCATTGACTGGAACGACAGAGTATGATGAAAGTTCGGAGAAATAGGAGACAATGAGAAGGTCTGAAAATTTCGATTTAGTTCCTGATTAGGGATAGGAGGAAGGGGTTTGGTGGTCGTTATCAATTTCCTTCTTCCAGAACCATCGTGCGGGGTGGGCCCCGTACGATTTTGAGGTCGTTCATTCTCAAAATCAAACACTTCTGCTAGGGCTGAGCCAAATGTTTCTTTGGCCTGTTGCTTTAACGCTTGCTTATACCCTTTGCGAACAACTCGCCCCCGATGTAACACGTACATGAAATCTTGATCGTTGATCTGGGACATATCGTGTGTGATTACAATAGTTGTTTTACCTTTCCGCCAGGTCCGGATGGCGTCCATCACAGTGGATCGGATAGTAAAGTCCAGCGCGCTTGTACTTTCATCGAGGATCAAAATAGGGGTGTCTCGCAAACGTGCACGAGCGATCGCAACTCTTTGGCGTTGACCCCCACTGAATGCACTCCCACCATCGCCGACCATTGTGTCGAGGCCATCCGGTAGATTGCGGACTGTCTCGTCGAGGGAGGCAAAACTGAGGCAGGCTAGGATTTTATCCTTGGATATACTCTGATAATCTCTCGAGCCGAATGCAATGTTTTTAAACAATGTCTCGTTTAAGAGGAAGCTTTGCTGCTGTACTAAGGTGATGTTATTCCGGATCCAGTCAATATTCAAGTTTCTAAGTGGAGTGCCGTCAATGAAAATATCTCCGCTTGTGGGAGCATAGAATCGCATGAGGAGATTAGAAAGTGTGCTTTTCCCCGAGCCACTTCTCCCAACAACATACGTCGTATCGCCAGCAGGGAAAAAGAATGATGAATCCTTTAATACGTAGCACTCGGGACGAGACGGATATGCAAAAGTTACCTAGAAATGTGGTGGAGGATTAGCGCTTTTCTGCCACGGGACACGACTAGGAATTTGGTCCCAATCCCTTACATTTTTGATGCGTACATCCCCCTCACAAAATCTCGGGGATACGTTGTGGGATGTATCGTCCGTTATGTTGTGACGGTTGGTTTTCTCCACCAGTTGTTGTAACGCGGAACTAGAGGTACGTCCTTTTTCAAGCACAATGATGTGAGGCAAAATATCTTCAACTGCCTGGGTAGATTGGAGGCATGCCCAAAAGGCTGCCACAACGTCTCCGGGAGCCAACTGGCCTGTTTCAACTAGATAGATCCCGTACCAGAAACCTTGGACGAACATTCCAAATATCATTAACCTTACGCAGCCAATTTGGAGTGCTTGGCCGAGTGCCTCATTTCTATACGACCGTGAGGCGGACAGGATGCCTGCAAAGTACTGTCGGGCTTCGACGTCTTGGCCATTGAAATACTTAACTGCATCGATACAGGAGAAGCAGTTGCCAATCAATTTTGATGTGCGCGTCAGCTCGGCCTCGTAGGCTTGTATCCTCGGCTGAATTTTCCTCGAAATGACAGCCACCACTGTTGCGCATAGAGGCACGGAGGCCAGTGAAACCAGCGTCAGCTTCCAGGAGGTGTAAAGGGCCAAGATTAGCGCCGTGGCAAACGTAACTACTCTCTGTAAAACACATCCTAGTGGCTGTGACGTCGCCAATTGAAGATCTCGGATCTGTCTAACCTGCAAATGAGTAGGTCGAATATGGTGAGGATTAGTGTGCTGGCACTTACGCTTGGAGACGCGCTAAAAGAGCTGAGACGCCGTCCTGTCTCATCTCAAACCAGGATATATCCTTCTTGAGCAACTCTACGAATGATCGCTCTCGCGCGTTTTTTGCTTGGAGCTCCCCGAAAGCTATCCAGAATGAAAAATGACCAGTTTGAAGCAGCCAAATGATGATTCCAAGAGCCAGGAAATACACACATTGGGCAGATATGGCATATATCAACTCTGTTGAGGTTAAGGAGCCCTCTCCGAATCTTGAAAATGCACCAAATATTCTCCCGAGCGGCAGAGCCAACAAGGGAACAAGGACACCGGCCCCTATAGTAAACAGCGAACCGAGACTAAGAAAAAGAACATGTTTCCTCGAGGTGAAATGAAATAATGAGGTCCACTTATGCTTTGCAGGCGCGCCGGTTGACACAATATTGGGGAAATTCTCAGCAATCTCCATGCTGGTTTAAAATTTGAAAATGTCCAACGAGAGAAGTAGAAGCGAAAAGAAACTGAGAGACACGGGACAGACATTATGAAAGGCTTCGCCATGATTCCCCGGACAAAAAAGGCAAGGTAAGACAACGGCATAGCGGGGGATGGAGTCGCATCGCATCCCAAGTGACCAAATGCGTCCACGGCATTGGATTCACAGTGTTCTAAACACCCCGAAGATGTTCTAGGGCAAAGAAATAGCATGATCAAGTGAATAGTACGGGGAATGAGATAAAGGAATAATGGCCAGAGAGAGATGCGGTAATATATCGCGCATTCCAATCTGCTGGGGTTTCTTAGTATTGTTCTTTTTGGAACACTTCTGCGTGATGAAAGCATAAATATACACAGAGTGATCATGATTCGATAGAGATTCTTAAGAACAGCTGTGTTCCATTCCGGGAGGCAATAAAGAGGTTCCTATAAAAAGGGGATTCATCTTTCAATTATCAAAGAAACTTCAAAGGCTCCATCAATCAGTGATTGACCTGTCATCGATATCGCTTGTGTCTTAGCTCAACTGACGAAGGCTGATGATGCTGCTTAATCAGCCGCGCCTCAGCTTGACTTTAGCCGGTTTTCGGTTTCAGTCAAGCAGCGACAGGCCCGTTCAACGTTTGCTTTGAACCTTGTGAAACACAGAGCAAAGAGCAAAAGGTGCTATCAGAGTTTTACTACGTCATTGCTAATGGCTACCATGGAAACAGGATTCCTTCGGTGTTCACAAGGAGTAGGGATTGGCTGATTTGATATGTTTAAGGGTCTTGAAGCTTAGCATCTAATAATCTCTTATTCCTCTAGTCTACTAGTTACGTAGATAGTTGGCTATATACTCCGTAGGGGTCCTTGGTGGCGTTATAACCCGCTACACGTGCCTACGCTAAAAACCCACCACATCCGTGAGTGGGTGCGCCTCACGATTATTTTTCATCATTTTCATCAATCATATCACCATTATTACTAGTCCACCTCAACATGTCTGCTGAGAGTGAAATCATTGAGAAATAGATTTCAAAATGCTGTTGATATGTATAAATGCAATTCAAAACAAAAAAATCAAATGTTTGATACAAGAATTCAATATATTCTATCACTGTTTTATTTATCAGATTAAAATGATAAATTGACAGAAATTTAATTTAATTATTTATATAGTCAGAGCTCAGAAAATATAGTTATAATAAATTCAATTATCGAATAAAAAAAATTTAAGTATATTAATTTTTAAAAAGTGATTTAACTATTATAATAATTAATAAAAATAGAAAAGAATTGTAATAAGTCTACACTAAATAGACTAGTATTGAGATATAGATGTTATATAATAAAAATGAAAAACATTAGAGAAGAAAAAAAAAGAGAAAGTGCAAGAATCAGTGATTACAGTAGATATTTATGCATGTATAAAATAAAGCTTCAGAGTAAGAGAATAGAAACTTCATAAGTTTCTTAGCTAAGAATTAACAACTGAGAATCAGAGCTTTCAGTGAATCAGCAGTAATCTATAAAGTGTAATAAAATAATCTATTAATCAAATGTAGTCTGCTATATTAGTTCTTTCTTTTCAGAAGTAATGAGATTACAGACATGTAGTTCTTATTAGTTAAAAGCTGCTGTTTCAGATAATACAGAGCTCAGAGTTCAGATCAGATAATTACAAGTAACTTATTTTATAAAATATTATCAGTTACAGCTGTAGAATCTTAGATTAAGAATATTTTCAATCTCTTATTCAAGTTTACTATCTTCTTCTATAATTTCTGACAGTTGTCAGTCAGAAGTTAGTTAAGAAGAAAATAAATCAGTGATAGTGTAATAAAGTAAACTTGTATAAAAAATATTATAAATTTCTGACAGAGTGTTAAGATAGTAGTTATAACTGTCTAGAACTTCTATCACTTTGTATTTAATATAGTAGTAGTTCAGTGTACAAGATAAGTATATAATCTGTATATTTTTAAGATTTAATTATATCAGATTTTCTATCTTATATTACTCAGTGAGATCTTAACAGACAGTAATTTAATTCTCTTAATCTTATTTAATAATTATTATGAAGACTTCTACTCAGTTATAAATATCTCAGAGCTTTATTATTATATTATCAGTGATCTGAATTAAACTACAAGAGATCAGTATAAACTTTGTAATTTCTAGAAGATTTAACATCTTCATATAATAATTATATATAAGAAAGAATAGACTTATATCTGTTGAGACAGCATCTCAGTCATTAATAGTAACTTCAGTGTATAGAAGAAGATTATATCAGTCATCTTATAAATAATTACAGAACTTACAAAGATAATTCTTCACAGTTTGAATTATTTATTTTAATACATTATCAGTCTCAGAGAAATAAGCAGTTAATAAGTAATATATAATCTTAAAAACTTGATAGATTCTTGTTCAGAGAGTGCTTATAAATTAACAGTCTTAATCAGATACTATAGATCTCAGTAAATCATACATCTGAGAGAATAAGCTTTATAAGAAAGCTTCAGTAATCAGTTTAGTAATTATCTTATTATAAGATTTTAATATCATATCTTTACTTAATCAGTTAATGATGATCAGAACATTCTTACAACTCTTTCTCTTAGAGAGATTGATAGTGAAGTTAATTACTACATCTTACTAGATTCTATCAGAGATATCAAGCAGTTTTAGTAGATCTTTTCTACAATCTCTTCATAAAATAACAAAGAAATAATAGTTATAGTTTCAGATAAAGTATCTGATACTGTTTAATATCTCAGGTCAGTAGAACTCTCAAGAGATTATTTAATATAGTTGTTTATAACTCAGATAGCTGATTATATATAAATTATATATCTCTTGCATTATCTAAGTGTGTAAGGGTTTGAACTGAGAGACTCAGTATTATTCACAGAATCACAGAGTATTATTATCATCAATTAAGTATTCTAAGATGTCAGTTCTTATACATAGTTCTGAGAGGAATCAGAATGCTTCTTAATATACTGCTTTGATAAGTGCTTAAAGAAGTTCATCAGTTTAAGCTGTTATACATCATAGTTCATTCAGTGTAGATTTGAGAGAAGTGGAGATATTAATAGCAGTTTGAAGAGAGAGTATATCAGTGACAGCTCAGAGAGAGAGTATTCTAATTGAAGAGGTGTATATAGTGTTATAAGTTGTTTTATTATGATTAAGTAGTATTTTCAGATTCAAGACCTGATGCTCTTGATTCATTCAACAGATGTCTGTTATATTAAAAGATATATCTTACTCTTGTTATAAGAGAGTATTTATTATCAAGTTCTAACTGCTGAGATGATAGTGTATTATGAAATGAAAATAGCTTAACAGTTCAGATCAGTTATTATTATTATTATTCTTCAATTATAGATGTATACAGTCAGAGACTATGACATCTACCTGAGAACTAAAAGTTCTCGGGGTTTTTCCTATATCTATAAAGTTAACTATTATATATTCACCAATTTCAGATATGCAAAATCAGAAAATTCCAGCTCAGAATACAAAAACTGTTTACAAATTGCAGTATTTTAACATCTTCTAATACTTTGAAACCATTTGACAATATCATGACAAAAGGAAAGAGAACACAGTCTTAAAGATAAACACATTAAATAGATAGATAGAAAAGAATAGAAAGAAAAAAGTAAAGTAAAATAAAGAGAGACTGTAATGAAACAAATTATCAAAAGATAGTATATAGCTGTTTTAACAGACTATATCTGATCAATTTCCTTCTCTTCATATTCAGATATTTCTGAATTTAGTCATTTTCTTATAGCTGCTTGAGTTTCTGATAGAAAGTCTATTAAGTATTTAATTCCTGTCTCAGTTGAGAATAAGAATCTCATATTTAATTGATTTAGATTATACTTCTCTTTCAATCTGACTCTGAGACTATTGTATAATACACAGTGTATTATAATATGCTCAGAATTCTCATTTGCATTGCAGAATAAGCATTCTATTGAATCAAATCTATCATCAAATCTTTGCATATAAGATTTGAAATAGTCATATTCTAATTTCAGCTCTATTATAGATGAGAATATTTTCTTTTTACATTTAATTAAACAAGATTTTCACTTGGGTTTTGTTTTAAATCTTGAATAATGTACACTCTTCTTTTGTTTCTACCAGCTTTCATTTCAGTTGTCTAAATAAGATTCTTTTATTTTTCTCTTTATAAATGATCAGAACACAATTTTTTAAATAAATCTGTTTAATTCTGCATTCTTTTTTACAGCTGAATCAGCCAATTCATTATCATGAATATTCATATGAGTAGAAACTCAGTGCAGATGAATTATTAGCTTTAATGTTCTTCTCTTTTGAATTTTTAAAACAGAGTTTAAGATCAGTTCAAGATTCATTTAATTATTATAAATCTGACTATTTCTAAGTCTTTTTAAAGCAGCTTGATTATCAGAGAATATTCATATCTCTTTCAAACTATTTCCTCTTTTATAAGATTTTATTTCAATGAGTTTGAAAGCTTTCACTATTATAAATAGCTCAGTGTCAAAGACTTTAAATTCACAGTCTAAATTTCAGAAATCTGAGATAAAATTAATATTATCTTCAGTATAAGTAATGTCTGTGTCTAATCTATTCAAATTCTCATTTTTTAAATCATCTGAATAAATCAGAATAGAGTCTTTTATATTGATTGTAGAAATTCTCTTTAAATACTGTTCATATTCTTTCTCTTTAGATAGTTCACTTATTTGTAAGTCTGTAACAGATTCAAGCTTTTCTCTCTAGAGAGATAACTTCTCATGATCAACTTTTTCAATATTTAAAGAAGAAAATTAATTTTTAATCAGTGAGCATAGTCTGTACAGTTGAGAAGACATTTTCTTTGAAGAATTATTTTCATTTTAATCAAGAAATCTATTTTAATCCAGTTCATTTCCAGAGTGAATTAATGAAAATGAAGAAGAGACTCTTTCTCTGATTATATAATTTAAGCTCATCTTTATAACTCTCAGAGTATAGTTCATACAGGTCTTTTCAAATCTAATAGTAGAAGAAGGAATTGAAGCTTCAATTTTCATTGCTTTAATAGAAGATGATTTGAATGCTCTCAGAATTCTTCTCAAAACTCTGTTTTACAGACTTTGAAAGAGTTCAGTGAAATTTTCTTGATTATTTTATCAAACTTGAACTTCATAATCAGCTACTGAGATAATACAGGTTATATATAACTGTCTTATAGCCTGGAAGAACAGATCTCTCTCTGTATTTGATAGTCTGATAATGTTGTTCAATAGTCTTTCTATCTTGACAGTTCTTTGTTGAATATGATATTTAAAATTCAACTTAAAGTTTAACTATACTTCTAATCATTTGACATTTAAACTGGGTTTAATCTCTCTATTTAAAAGAGTTAGAGATAGTTCTTTCTCATTGAATCTAGAAAAGAAATGAATTAACTCAGTTTTATTCATATTAAATTAAATTTAATTGATACCTGCTCTGATAAAGATTTTCTTTACAGCTTTTTCAATCACTTTTAAATTCTCTTTAATAGTTTTTGACCTGTAGACTAGATCAATATCATCTATATAACTTAGAGATTGCACTATTTTCATATTTCTATCTTTGAATAGATATGCAGTGTATATTATAAATAAAATGAGTGAGATTGAAGATTCTTACAGTACTTCTATTTTTATCTCAGTCTTATCTTATTTCATTTCATCAAAGAAAAGTTATATGAT